CAACCCTTCACAGGGCTATGCTCAGCCACCCTGACCACTCCACCAGAGCTATGCTCCAGCCACCCTGACCCTCCACCAGGACTGTGCCCCTGACCCTCCACCAGGACTATGCTCTGCCTGACCCATCACCAGGACTATGCTCAGCCACCCCAACCCTCACCAGGACTATGCTCAGCCACCCACGCCCTCCACCGGGGCCTGCTCAGCCACCCTGACCATCACCAGGACTATGCTCCAGCCACCCTGACCCTCACCGGGACTATGCTCAGCCACCCACCCTCCTACCAGGGCTATGCTCCGGCCACCACCCACTCACCAGGACTGTCTCAGCCACCCTAGCCCTCCACCAGGGACTTATGCTCCAGCCACCCTGACCCTCCACCAGGACTATGCTCCAGCCACCCACAGCCCTCACCAGGACTATGTCCAGCCACCCACAGCCCTCACCAGGACTATGCTCTCCCTGACCCTCCACAGGACTATCTCCAGCCACCTGACCCTCCACCAGTGACTATGCTCCAGGCCACCTACCCTCCACCGGAGACTATGCTCCAGCCACCCTGACCCTCCACCAGGACTATGCTCAGCCACCCACAGCCCTCCACCAGGACTATGCTCCAGCCACCCACAACCCCTCCACCAGGACTATCTCCAGCCACCCTGACCCTCCACCAGGGACATACTCCCAGCCACCCACAGCCCTCCACCAGAGACTATGCTCCAGCCACCCTGACCCTCCACCAGAGACTATGCTCCAGCCACCCCACCCTCCACAGGGACTATGCTCAGCCACCCACAACCCTCCACCAGAGACTATGCTCAGCCACCCACAACCCTCCACCAGAGACTGTCCAGCACCACAACCCTCCACCAGTGACTATGCTCCAGCCACCCACAACCCTCCACCAGAGACTATCTCCAGCCACCACAGCCCTCCAGAGACTATGCTCCAGCCACCCACAACCCTCCACCAGGGCTATGCTCAGCCACCCTGGCCCTCCACCAGACGCCAGCCTCCACAGGTGCTCAGCCACCCTGGCCCTCCACCAGAGACTATGCTCCAGCCACCCACAAACCCACCAGGACTGCATCTCCGGCCACCTGACCCTCCACCAGGACTATGCTCAGCCACCCCCAACCCTCCTGGTGACTGTCTCCAGCCACACAGCCCTCCTGGAGGCCTGTGCCCGCACACTCCACCAGGACTATGCTCAGCCACCCACAGCCCTCCACCAGGACTATACTCAGCCACCCACAACCCTCCACCAGGACTGTGCTCCAGCCACCTGACCCTCCACCAGTGACTATGCTCCAGCCACCCAGCCCCTCCCACCAGGACTATGCTCAGCCACCCTGACCCTCCACCAGGACTATGCTCAGCCACCCACCACCCCTCCACCAGGACTATGCCAGCACCCACAACCCTCCACCAGGACTATGCTCCAGCCACCCAGCCCTCCACCAGAGACTATCTCCGGCCCGGCCTCCACCAGTGACTATGCTCCAGCCACCTGACCCTCCACCAGAGACTAGCCAGCCACCACCCACCCACCTGGGACTATGCTCAGCCACCCTGGCCCTCCACCAGTGACTATGCTCAGCCGCCACAACCCTCCACCAGAGACTATGCTCCATGCACCCTCACCACGAGATTTCTGTGCCAGCCACCCACAGCTCTCCACCAGAGACTATGCTCAGCCACCCACAACCCCTCCACCAGAGACTATGCTCCAGCCACCCACAACCCTCCACGAGACTGTCTCAGCCACCCTGACCCTCCACCAGGGCTATGCTCAGCCACCCCACCACTCCACCAGGGCTATGCTCAGCCACCCACACCCTCCACCAGGGCTGTCTCAGCCACCCTAGCCCCTCCACAGTGACTATGCTCCAGCCACCCTGACCTCCACCAGAGACTATGCTCAGCCACCCACAACCCTCCACCAGAGACTATCTCAGCCACCCACCACCCCCATCACAGAGCTATGCTCAGCCACCACAACCCTCCACCAGAGACTTCATGCTCAGCCACCCACAACCTCCACCAGGCTGCTCTCAGCCACCCTGGCCTCACAGACCTCCAGCCACCCAACCCTCACCAGTGACTATACTCCAGGCCACCTGACCCTCCACCAGAGTATGCTCCAGCACCCTGACCCTCCACCAGGACTATGCTCCAGCCCACAACCCTCCACCAGGACTATGCTCAGCCACCTGACCCTCCACCAGGACTATGCTCAGCCACCCACAGCCCTCCACCGGTGACTATGCTCAGCCACCCTGACCCCTCCACCAGGGACTATGCTCCAGCCACCCACAACCCTCCACCAGAGACTATGCTCCATGCACCTGACCTCCACCAGGGCTATGCTCCAGCCACCCTGACCCTCCACCAGAGGCTATGCTCCAGCCACCCTGACTCTCCACCAGTGACTGCCGGCCCCGCCTCCCACAGAGGCTATGCTCCAGCACCCCAACCCTCCACCAGGGCTATGCCCAGCCACCCACAACTCTCTGGCTTGCTCGCCACCCTGACCCTCTCGGCTTCTCCAGCCACAACCTCCACCAGAGGCTATGCTCAGCCACCCACAACCCTCACCAGGGCTATGCTCAGCCACCTGACCCTCCACCAGGACTGCTCAGCCACCCTGACCCTCCACCAGGACTGTGCTCAGCCACCCACAACCCTCCACCAGGGACTATGCTCCAGCCACCCAGCCCTCCACCAGAGACTATCTCCAGCCACACAGCCCTCCACCAGGACTATGCTCAGCCACCCATGGCCCTCCACCAGGACTCTCCAGCCACCTGACCTCACCAGAGACTATGCTCAGCCACCCACAACCACCAGTGACTATGCTCCAGCCACCCACAGCCACTCCAGAGACTATGCTCCAGCCACCCACAACCCTCCACCAGAGACTATGCTCCAGCCACCCACAACCCTCCACCAGAGACTGTCTCCAGCCACCCAACCCTCCACCAGTGACTGTCTCCAGCCACCCACAGCCCTCCACAGTGACTGTCTCCAGCCACCCACAACCCTCCACCAGAGACTATGCTCCTGCCCCAACCCTCCCCAGAGACTGTGCTCCAGCCACCCCACCCTCCACCAGAGCTATGCTCCAGCCACCCTGACCTCCACCAGGACTATGCTCCAACCCACTGACCCTCCACCAGGACTGCTCAGCCACCCAGCCACTCACCAGAGACTGCCTCCAGCCACCCAACCCCTCCTGGTGAGCTATTCCGCCACCCAGCCCTCCACCAGGACTGTGCTCAGCCACCCACAGCCCTCCACCAGGACTATGCTCCAGCCACCCCTGACCTCACCAGGACTGTGCTCCAGCCACCCACAGCCCTCACCAGAGACTATGCTCAGCCCTGACCCTCCACAGTGACTATCTCAGCCCCCCGGATACTCCAGCCACCCACAACCCTCCACCAGAGACTGCTCCCAGCCACCCAGACCCTCCACCAGTGACTATGCTCAGCCACCCACACCCTCACAGGTGTTCAGCCCTCCCTCCACCAGAGACTTCTCCCATCACCTGCCTCCACCAGTGACTATGCTCAGCCACCTGACCTCCCACCAGGCTATGCTCAGCCACCCACCCTCCACCAGAGACTATGCTCCAGCCACCCTGCCCTCCACCAGGACTATGCTCAGCCACCCACAACCCTCCACCAGGACTATGCTCAGCCACCCACAACCCTCCACCAGTGACTATCTCCAGCCACCCTGACCCTCCACCAGAGACTATGCTCAGCCACCCTGACCCTCCACCAGTGACTATGCTCAGCCACCCACAGCCCTCCACCAGTGACTATGCTCCAGCCACCCCACAGCCCTCCACCAGTGACTATGCTCAGCCACCCGGCCCTCCACCGGTGTTGCTCTCCAGCCACCCCAGCCTCCACCAGTGACTATCCCCAGCCAGCCACCACCAAGACATCACAGCATCACCCTCCAGACCTGAGGAGGTGCAGGGAGGGTGGGCATGTGTCTGTCCTTATAACAACTCACCCTCACATCACCCCCACCATCATCCACCATCGTCCTCAATGAAAGTAAATATCCTTTTTGCTGCTAAATTTAGATTACTAATTATATTATGCTATTGTATATGTATTTGACTGAAATTTAATGAAACATGTAATACAGGTATTGTTTTGCGAAGGAACAGGCAACTTAGTTAGGTTTTGAATTTATTGGCGGCCGTGGAACCTAACCCTCTATTTCCCATAAGCCTTTGGTCTTACGAACCATGGATTTACCAATCAAGGGGTTTTCCAGGAACTCAATCTCTACTGTCAGCGAGGGACTACTGTACAGTATATAAAACTGATAAACTCTTTTATTTACCTTATTAGATGCTGTAGATGGTAGACATAATAGTGGAAGAGCGACACTTATGATGTTCAGGTACAATTTAGTTTGAGGCACTTTTACATAGCAGTACTCTGTATGTTAATTGTTTGTCATTTAAGTTTTAAAATGTATAGTAATTATTTTCTATTTACAACTTAATAGTGCTATTGTAGTTCTTTCCTTAACATACTACATCACATATACATACATACCCTTGATGTTAACTTTATTCAAACTTAATATTTCCGTGAACACACGAGACATTGATGGGGTATGGGAAGCTATCACAACACAAAATGTTTGTACAATAGTAAACCGCTAAAAGTCTAAAAGTTCACATAAATGAGTGTGGTGGTGGGGCACAGTGCACTGGTGATACATATGAATGTGGCTCAGACTGAGGCATGTGACACTAAAGCATGTACAAACACACAAACTGTCTGGACTGATGCACAATTTTCTGGACTTTTTAAAATTTTATGATAAATAGAGGGCGGTCTGGAGCACTTCAGAGCATCCAAAAAAGCAAATTTAAATATATTGAAGTCTGATTTATCAAGGTTTTACTATACAACGTAAGTGAATAACTTAAGGAAAATGTCAAACAAGTTAAGTATTAAACTCTTACCGCAGCCAATGAACAGGTAAAGTGACAAGAGAGATTGTCAGAGAAATATGGTGTTGATAATAAATATTCTTTGATCTGGTCATAGAAGGACAGCTGCCCAATAGTCATTAACACTGCCCTAAAGGTTGCTGTCGAAGCACCACGGAACAATCGAGGAACTCCTTCTTCCTCCACAACACGTACAAGGCCATCCATAGCATGCTTATAGCTGTAAAACAAAACATAAAATAAAAAAATAGCAACAGCATAGAACATTTAAACAAAATAATTACCATTACTCGTTTATTTAACATATAATGAGCTATTGCAGATAGAGTGATCACTCACAATAAGTGAAGGGTCAGGTAACTTTTACAGACACTGTCTATTTTGCATTTTGATGCAAAAAATGTGACTAATGAATACAAGTGCTTATTTAAGTTGTACAGGCTGACCCTCTCTCATACAGCATTTAATTGACCAGCAACTCCCATTTAACAGTACAGTTGTTACATAAAAATAATTAACCGCTTTGCCCATGTGTGCCTGGCCCAGGAGACCATTTTTTATTTACAATGTCTAAATCTCACAGGACTATTGTAATTACAGCAATTGGTGAGTACAGTAGCTAGAGAGGTTATTTAATTTAACTATAGTAATACCCGTAAAAGCTGACTTTCATATAACCTCGCATTAAACTACAGTACAGTACTGTTAAAACATCCCACAGGCTAATTCACCCACGATGCAATGAAAGTGTAGGCAGAAGCTCACCCAAGAGATGCTGCTCCCTCACCATTAAATATTAAGATTTTTATAAAAAATGTGCTCATAGACATCTTTTAAAAAAAATATTTGGTTAGTGATACACTGTACTACCGGTATTTACAGTACTGGTGAAGAACTTTATTTTAAAAGGTTTTGACTTTTTCCTGGCAGCATAACCTTCAGTATATAGGCTCATACAGCTAACAAACCATCACAGTTCTTACTTTATTCTCTTCGCCAATGATCGGCTTGTGAGCCACTTGGGTGGTGTCAATTCTGGCTCTGTTACACACTACAGTATTTGCAAGTATATTGGGCATGCACTGGTTCCAGGATGTATCTATACCTGCACCAGTGTTGGTAAAGTCTGGTCTTGAATGAAATCACCCTCAGTGCTGTCACAACACTCCAGCAGAGAGTTCCAAGAGTTTAACCCTAACTCCAAAAAAGTTTGCCCTGACAATTTTTTTTTTTAACTTAAAGTTTTTTCTATCTTAAGCTGTGACCTTTAGTGGGGCAGGCATCCGCCTGCTCCAGACATGGGCACTTTCACTTGAGTAATGTCCCCTGAGGTGTTTATAGACTTCTATTGTCACCTCTTGCCTGCTAATATAAGCTAGGATGTTGTAGGTGTTCTAATCTCTCTGGAGTAACAGGTGCCATAGTGCATGCACCAGTATGGTGGCTCCCCTTTGGACGATTTTAATCAAATGACAGTCCTGAGCATATCTCGAGGACCATACGGGGTGACAGTATGTACCCCAAACAGGGAAGCACCTCACTTTTGAAGAGTGTTACAAGGGATGGACAGTCTTGGTATCTGAACGACCCCTATAAGACCCACTAGCTTAGTCGCTTGATTCACCTTCTCACCTTTGGTGTACTATATGATGCAGGGTGATGTTAGGAGAATTTTTTTTTTTTTAAAGGGAAGCAGCTTAGACACCAGCAAACATGGTCCAGTGGTGGTGGGTGGTCAGGCGACTTAACAGCGGAGATTGAAATTATGCCTACACCTTTCAAGTGTGTTGTAGAGGGCCTGACTTACAATCCAACTCACAAACACCGCCAGTACAGGCAGGTTAAACTTGAAATTTACAATATTTTATTTACCTTATTTTTTTTTACTTTCATTACTGTATTTTGTCATTCTATTTCTTCTTTTGTTTAAAATTACCGGGTAAGTGATTTTAGATGTAGACTTACGCTATGATATAGTGGGATTTTAAACATTGTTCTGCAAGTATGGTATGCACATAGCATGCGTTCCGACTTAAGAACGTCCTCAGGAATGGAACCCATTTGTAACCCGGGGAACCCCTGTACTGTATTGTATTGTATTTCATATACAATGATATCCCTGTGGAACAATTGGTGCAGAGCACTTCCAGGGATGAGAGATTTCTGGGTAACCAGACGACTTTCTCAAACCTGGAAAAATTCCTTATCCCCGGAACCTTTTCCGGTTACTGGTAAAAGTTTCCTAGTGTCTAAACTAGACATGTTGCACAGACGGACACTAGCCCACTTCCCCAGAATGTTTCTGGGTGCTGGGGACGTTTTACTGAAGTCTAATTACGGGTCCGTAAATGCAGTTCTAATTAAGTTCGAAACTTCATTTCTTTACTATAATAATCCATGTTACAGCAAAGACTGTTATTTTCCACTCCCAGGGAGCTGTGGGGTGGTGGGTCTCATATAACTGACTTGACCTGACACAATGCCAGGTGGAGGTAGGGTGGGGGATTAGTGGTCTCATAACCTGAAGATGTCTTGAATAAACACGAAACCTAAAGTATTTTTAGGGAGATTGTGGGAAGTTTAAGTATAAATGAGCAAAGTTGCATCCTTTCAACAGTTGGAGTGGAAATGAGTTGCCAAGCACTCAACAGCTGATATTTAACTAAGCTACCATGCAGTCACACACACGCAGATATGTCATACAATAAGAACCTCACTCCTCATGCTTGCTGTGTTAATTCCCTTGTTGGGGATGTGTGAGTGGTGTTGTAATGTGTGTGTGTGTGTGTATGGCGACCTGTGGTGCAATGGTTAGCATACTCACCTCGCAAGCGAATGGACCCGGGTTCGATCCCCGGACAGGGTGAAACTATGGGCGAGTTCTTTTCGCCATTGCTCTGTCTACCCAGCAGTAATTGGGAACTTGGACGTTAATCGATTTGTGGATCGTATTCCGGGGTAATGGTTAGACAGTGCAGTTGGTGAGTTGTCCGGTCTTCTCGGACTATTCCTTGACACCGAGTCATGCGACTTGTTAACTCAGGGTGCGGTTGTTGTGTTGGGGACAGCTTCTACACCTTAAACAAATTCAAGCCAAGGTGGCCCTTGGCCCGGCCATCCTCATTACACGAGAGGCAACCATTATATATATACTGTACAAGGTATTTAGAGGTGTGTGGGTGGTGTTTGTGGGTGATTGTTGGAGGGTGTGTTTTTTTGTGTGTGTGTGATGTAGGGGTGTATGTGTGATGGTGGGGTGGTGTTGGTGTGTGTAGCACAGTGTGGATAATGTTGTTATGTGTAACACAGTGTGGGTAATGTGTAGTGGCGTGTCGTGAGAAAAATGCTAGGGTAAGCAAATGACGCTTTCTTACTTGTAAAGTCACGAGATCTAAAAGAATTCTTTAGTAGATCACATACAGTCTGTATGTGATCTACTAAAGAATTCTTTAGATCTGTTTAAGTCATTGCTACTGTTCTCACGACACGCCACTGGTAATGTGAGCTGAGTGTTGTTGGCGGAAACGAAACTTTTGGGGGCGAGGATTACGTAGCCAGTTCCCCCCTCCTTCCTCACTCTAGTGTGACTAACTGTGATAGGGAGATGAATTTAATACCACAATGATCCTTAATAAATTCTCCGAGACGTTTCCAATAAGATATCCTAAAACAAAATACTTCTAGATGATATAGTGATGGGACTTCCATTCTTTTAAAAAAAATGTAAGAAATATTTATACCGGAATCAGTAAAATTAGTTTTAATTTCGTTACACACCATTCTTTATCAAAGTAAGCCTGAAGACTTTATCTAAAAGTTTGGTTAAATTAATATATTTAAAAAAAAAAAAAGCTCTATATGATACGGGCATGAATAGAGCTGTTACATCTTGTAGAAGCTTCAGTTATTTCTGCAAACACCACTGTACAATACTTGTATATATATTGTACTCCACCAGATCCTGTCATCTTTAGCCTAGAATAGGCAGACACTTCACTAAATTGACTGTAATACATACCTAATCATGTCTTAACACTTGTGATGAAGGTTGGGTGGGAGATTATTGTGTTATGTTACTAACCTGATCTGATGCAGTGACAGGTAACCCATTGTTGGGTGGGGGATTATTGGGTCTTATGACATTATTTTTTACCCAAGACATATATACATAGTACTATACTGTATTGTATATGAAGGGTACATGCATTAATAAGCAAAGATTATTACAGTAATGTATCTTTACTAATTAATGAACAAATAAACAATATTGTACTCCTGTATCATGAATGAGGGAGTACAGTAGACAAACAGTGAGGTAACCCTTGGGGAGGGGCCCATTTACAAAACGATCTCAGCCATCGACATATGGCATCTCCAGACCAGAGCCTACCTCAACCACAGACTAGCCTCTTGCACCTCGCCTGCCTTTTTATAGCCTCCCTCCTCAACCCTTCCTCACGCACCTTTGTCAAGCAAAATTCGTCAGTTGTCAATGTAAGTGTTATTTAAGATGTATTTAAGATTGTTTTTAATTTTTTAACTGTTTTTTTTCTTTATGAATGAGTAAGGTAAAGAATATTTATTATGAGTTACCCTGTATGGTATATGATTGTTCCCTTAACCTGTACCATTTACATGCATTCTTTTGGGAAAAATGTTTAATTTATGCGTTTTTGAATTATGTATGATTTTCAAGGACGTAACCCCCATCTAAAACGAGAGGTGGGTGCATAAGTGGCTATTCATGGTTTTTCAATTCGCGCCATTTCTTGGAACCTATCCCTTAAGAATGACACGGGTCTATTGTACTTTGCAAAATTCGATATCATAATATCCTGCTCACTGGGGCTAGTTATACAAATTTTCCCTGTGAAAAAGCCATAATTTTGAGCAGGAATTACTGTGCAGGGGGGCCCCAAAGTTTGCGGAGTTTTACCTTGCAGTTCTCGGTTATTTGCGGATGACACTCTGGATGTACCCAAAAATGTCTGTGGGTGGTTTTAAAGTTGCCGGCGTAGTTTGCACGACATTACAATTTTAGCAATTAACTTAGTACATTTGAGTACAGGTTGTGATAATTTATGCGGTTGCTTAGCGGTTGCGAAGCTTCATGGCATCACTAGTGTACAGTATAATGCATCTCCATATGCCCAGGTTTATTCATTGATCAGTTGTCTAAGTGCAAAAGTAGCCAAGTCAAGCCATCAAGTATCAAATAATTTTAAAATAGATGTTATAATGTAGAATGTTATAAGACAATGGTTTAGTAGTGCTGTTAATTTGCGTGCTGTGTAAGTGTCTTGGCATGTCACCTCACCACCTGACTCCTGAACAAACTCTTCATCAACTTCTTCAAATCCTACAATGTGGTTGGCAAGGTCAACAATTTTCTTTTGAATGTTTGGCGCACGCACGCACACAGGAATTAAGACAACAAGCATCCAGTGAGGGTCTTCTTGTGTGACTGCATGGAGATGAACTAAAAGGACAGCTGTTGAGGAGCTTATTGCATGGCAACACTGGTGCACATTACCACTCCTTTCCACTCCACCTCTCCATATTTTAAAATGTTATGTAGTATAATGTTGAAGGGATACAAATTTGCTCATTTATACTTATACTTATCACAATCTCCCTAAAAATACTTTAGCTTTCGTGTTTATTCAAGACATCTTCAGGTCATGAGACCCACAAATCCCCCATCCAAGAAAGGGTGACCTGCCATTCCATCAGAAGGTCAGTAATATGAGACCACTAATCCCCCACCCTACCTCCACCTGATGAGTCAGGTTAGGTCAGGTCCCCCAAAAATACCTTACCTTTTGTTTTTATTTAAGACATTTTCAGAAAATGCTCTTGATTTTCAGCCTTGGAAATTTTTTTCCCAAAGCCGGAAATTTTTGGAAATTCCAGTTTTGGGAATGATTCTCAATGCAAATTTCAATCCCAGCTATCGGAGATTTCCGGGTTTGAGGAATTCTGGCTAATGGAGATATTACTACAGTATTTTATATTTGTGTGTACTGGTATTTCATGTGTTATTTCCATAAAACTTTGAAGTGTTTCTGCATGAAACATTTTCTTTTGGGAGGCACAGCTGTCTGAGGATAACAGATCATGAGTGCCCAACTAAGACTGAGTGTGGGTTGGGATGCACGAATTCAACAGATTTTCATTCATTATATCATTAATCCATCCTTTATACATCTACACAATTATGTCAAGAGAATGGATGAGACCAATTGGGACAAGAGATGCACCAGTATAAATGTGGAAGAGAAGAGAGCCAATGGTAGGTAAAAAATGTAAGTACAGCTCCCCCCCGACTTATGACCTACTCGACTTACGACCACCTCGGTTGTACCAAAATTTTGTCAAATTACGTATTTTCGAGTCCCAACGTCAGTGATTCCGCTGTGTAGTGACAAAATTTTTGTTTGTAATTCACTTTAAAATGGCTGGCAAGCTTAAAAGTGACAGTTTTGTGGTGTTGAGAAGAAAAAGAGACACCCATTTAGATTTTCTGAGTATTATTTAAGCATTTTCGACTTATGACCATTTCGACTTACGACCTGGATTTGGGTCCCTAACCCCATCGTAAGTCGGGAAGGAGCTGTAATGACAAGAGTTAAAAACCTGACAAGAGAGGATGCAGGAGACCGTGTAGCATGGACTGCTGCCATGAGGATTGAGGTAACCACAGCTAACCCATGCAAGCATGGAAACTGGCCATACAATGCTGCTGATGATTAAAAATTATTGTCACCTTGCTTGTTTATTTATTTAATTTACTCATCAAGATGTACCAGTATATCAAATTTTTATACAAAGAAATCCAAAATGTTATGCAGTACTGTACTGTATTACTAATGAACCTTTATTATACTGACCTTCTATTAAGCAGAAATTTCCATTATCCGACATGGCCTGCATTTCAAGGTTGCCAGATAAGAGAGGTTTATCAACCTGTACTTCAAATTTATAATGTATGAGAAATATAAAAAATATGTGATATTCAACTGTATTAAAAATCTGTAAAAAATTAAATAGACAGTAGATCATAATAACAGTTTTATGAACATATGATAAGAGAAAACCTAAAACTGTATTACACAAATATCACATGAATTTTCAGTAAATAATTCACTTAACTGTAACAGTGTGTCTGTGCCATCTTATCAATATCCTCCAAAATAATCCCTAAAAGGTTGAAGGGTTTTCTGCCCCCGTAAGCATTCCCATTGGTGCCTTCCACCTCAGTTACAACTTATGAGTCCTTGTCTTCTTCCCCAAGATAATCACTAGGAAATTTACACAGAAATGAGACAGCACTGATGACCTGTTTGCCCAAATTCAAAACCTTCCCACATTAAACAATTTATCTTTCTAAAAACAAGTGTGGCAGAACAAAAATGTAACAAATGTATCAAAAATGTTTTCTCTCACCCTGCAATATCAAATGGTAAGAAATCAAACACCTGACATTATTGTAACTGTCCCTAATGTGATACTACTGTAACTATGACCTACCAAGACTGCATAAAGCACTTCCACTATGTTTTACATGAGGACATTTTGTGAAATTTAAATCAATTTTATCCATGTGCAATCAATATAAGCACAATATTTAATAACTGTTGAGCTATTGTTTGCATCATGAATAAAGAAATAAGAATTAACAGCTTGTAGCATAGATACTGTATATATTATTTTTCTGTACGTAGCACCACTGGGGACTGGGCCCGCACCAAATGAAACTCAACGGCAGAATGCAAAGCAAGCTGTGGGGCTATCTGCTCAGTGTGAGCATGTGGCTGGGAATGAGGAGGTTCATGTCCAAAACTTATTTGTGGCAGACCTTGCTCATCAGGTTTCTTCCCTCTAGTTTACTAGGAGAGGGGGGTGGGAGGGCACATTAGCTTCTACTTTGCCATTCACTGTAATGTTTACAGTAAGAGAAGACAAACTAATCTTAAGATTAGTCACAGCCACTTATGTCTGTCTCCTGGGCCTAGACCAATGGTGTAGTGAATGTACCATATAAGCTGCCTAGTAAAGGGTGACAGGCCATTCAGTTTTAAGCAGCCTGGGCTGAAACTGCATACCCACACACCCTGCTCTATTTTAATAGATGGAAGAAGCACACTCGGTTAGAAATTTTGGACCTGTCAGCCTAATCTGAACAACATTGGAATATCAGGAGGTTGCTTGAAATTTAAAACTTTGTAAATTTAATTGAAAATTTAGATTTCTAATAAGAAAGGTTTCACCTTTTTTTTTGCTCAATTAATTTTTTTCCCATATTATTATTAACAATATCAAAACTACTAAAATACATTTATAAACATTGCGGCAATATAAAGGAAAAAATTATTGAAATATAAAACTTAAAGGTCAAATTAATGTAAGTCACTCCTGTACACCACTTTCATTAGGAACAATTTTATGTACTGTACAGTAGTTTAATTTGTAATGCCTGAAGGAAAAGCTGACAAGCTGCAAACATCAGGCTATTTGTAAAATTTATATTTATACAATACATCCTTAAGTAATGAAAACAAAAATGCAGTTAACTATAAATACTGTAATGACAAAATATACAACTTCTTACTTTCGTTTTTCCTCTATTGGAAGCTTTATATCATTTTGCATGCGGACATTGACCATGTCTCCGGGCGTTCCCACGAAGCCTCCGCATGCTCCAGCAAACCCTGCTATTAATGCCCTCTTGTAAAAAGGCAGCGGTGCTCCTGAAGATTCGGACATCCTCTGCTTCATCACCTTCATGAAATATTGAAGCAGTGGTACCATACTCATTCTTTTCAACAGTACAGTACTATACAGAAAACCCAAAACTGTACTCTACCAGATAATAATAAATTTAATGATGTCATTCTACTGCACTTAGCTACTGCATACTCTCTCAAGGTATGATAACATTCTTTCCAATTAGAAATTTAGATTTGTGTAAATGCCACACAAAAAGCTATGCAAAAAACAATTAATACTGTAAATGTACTCCAAGTGTTTCATATGTCTTGAGAAAACTTATCTTAATATGGATCTTGGAATAATATAGGTAAATACCCATTCAAAATAGGATGACGTCTTTCTATTGTATAGTTTCTTCATAAAACTTTAACACTGAATTAGTTGTTACTCAACTGTCTGTAACACAATTCTCCCAACTATAATTTCATGAAAAGGCCTCTTTTAGTTTATTTCATACTGTCTGACTTTAATAATCTGTAACATAAATTAAACTCACACTGCATATACTGTATACAGAATTTATAACCGGAAGTGCAACCTACTTTTTTTGCCGAAGCTTGTTTTTCTATCTTAAGGAGATGATTATCCTTGAGTCAGACAAGAGTATCCACATCAGGGCTGCCTGGTCATGTTTTCAACCCCAAATGTAAAATTACAACCTGGCACAGTGTATTACATTTTTTAGCTCAATAAGTTGCCACACAGTGCCATCAATTACCACAGGGCATATGTGAAGCAACACAACTCCTGCATTGCCTGATAGGTGTAGGAAGGCTTGGAGAGAGATGATAATGATTTATCATCTGTAACAATGGAGACAATATACTGTACTGTACTTCCCAAAATTCGGTGTTCATCTCTCAAGTCTGCCCACACAGTGAGGGGATAAAAACCACACGATACAAAATGCCTATACAGTATGACAACAGAATAAAAAGGATAGTTCCTCTCTTCTCAAAAGTTCATCAAGCAGGTACAAATTCCCATTACTGTAGATGTATCGAAAAAGAAGGGGGACCCACTTTCCTGTAGGTCCCTAAGAAGAATGAATCCCCAAAATAATGTCTGACACATTTGTCCACAACAATAAATCATAGAGTGTCAGGGAATAAGGAACTGCAGATGATAATTGCTCCTAATTCCCCAATTGTTTCAAAGTGAATAAAAATTTATGTGACTAGGCACATCATCATCATCCTAATACAAAGACTACTATGTTAAACAGCCCTTAAGGGGAAGAATAAAAAGAATTTGTAATTAGAAAGAAAGGTCTTTCCTACCAGGTAGAACTAAATGCCTTTTCCCTTATTTACACAAACTCCTGGCTAAGAACAAATCTTAAGATTCTCCCTGTTTACCAAGAAGCAAGACTGGGTAAGAATACTTAACATGTGCAAACCCACTACAATGCTTCCACATTTAGGCACTCATCAAGATAGATAATAAAAAGTTTCCTGTCTTAAGAATCAAATCCAAAATTACTCTAACAGTTTGTATAAACTACTTTCAAACTGAAAAGGAAATTTCTTTCTCAGTTTAAATTGAATAGGAGCATGCCAACAAATGTGTTTTAAATTCCCACTCAAAGGCTCAGTCTCCCACGATGAATTAGTCAGCTTAAACAACTCATCAGGGACAGACACATTAGGCCACTTCAAGTCAAGAATTATTCTATGCCTCTGATGTTTTAGGAAGACTAGAAAGAAAAAAGTCTTGACACAAAATGACAAAAATCTGATCACTGAAAAACACGTCCTCAAAAAGGATTCAGGTTTATACTAATTACATAAACAAACCCTATGAAACATTATACATAAGACAAAAACCTGTATCAGCTGTCAAATGAAGGCATATCTTACTGGATGGGCCACCAAAATTTCCTAGCACTGAGATAAGAGGCACCAAGTAGATGGAAAGAGAAAAAAAAAAAAAAAAAAAATTAACCTCCCTGAAACCAGACACATTAACTGAACTACTACACTGGCCACACAAGGGAAATACTATTAACCAAACCAGATACATTACTGTACAGTCAACCATATGATAAAAATGATTTCTGCTCAAAATTCCAAGTAAATTGGTTCAAACCCTGTTTATCTATTATTAGAAATTATTAAATGCTAAAGCCTCCCATACATGCTCAGTTCTGCCTGTCAGTCCAAATAAACTAAGACTTGAGGAGCACGCCATTTGCCCACATACGATTCAGTTCTGCCTGAAGGCCGGACCTCAGTTCTCACGGGCACCGTAGCATGAAAACAGCCATGGCCACTCCAGAAGATGTTGAAATGATATCATTAAGTATTGCAGGTGAATGTATGGTGTTGAAAAAAAGAAGTGGCACTCTCATGAGAAATGGTATGAGGACTGGCTACTGCATAGATTGTCTAGGCATTTCCTGATACAGGTACCTCAGCAAGTCATAATACCATTGGCTTAGCTGGTGTATATTGGCACTGACAACTGACTTCTGTGAATTCATAACCTTGACCTCTCTCCAAAATGCACTATGCATGCTGTTAATCTTCTTTGATTCTGTATCCTTGTAGCTGAAGCATCTCTTTCTTCAATTTATTAACAAGTGTGCCATATGCAACTGCCTTTTTGTTTGTCTTCGGGTGAGGTTCGTCATCACGCTAGTAAAAAGTGTGTGGCAGAGTATCTCTCACTGCAACGGTCTGGCCACAACTGAACCTGCACTCCAGCACACACACACACTCAAACCGGTCTTCAGGCCACACTAAATGAAGGCCTATTTTTATGTAGTTCCTTCAGTTCACGAGCCAGGCCTTCAGTTCAAACTACCGCCACATACGCACACACTGGTCTGCGCAAACCGGTTTGTGCAGTCAGACTGACAGGCCATACTGAGTCTGTATAGGGCACTTAAAATAGTAATTACTGGACTGGATGTCATTTTATATCTTTGATAGAAAACATGTCCTAGTAACCCTGATATGGATTCTGCTTACAGATTCATAAGATTCCTTCCAGATGAAGAAAAATAGTGACCTACATCAATAAATATAATCTATGAAGTTTACAGTATGCAGAAAACATACGGACAATACTAATCAACTGTGACCATCAAATTCTGCACAACATTTAGTCTTTGTTTTCAAATGAGACAAACAAGATAACGAAGAATTCTTACCATATTTTAAACTCTACCTACAGCATATTGTTCTTCACACTCAAAGTAGAGCAGGAAATACATTATCTTGTGTAAGTATTTTAATTAATAACCAGCTCCACTCCATGCATTGAGGACCTGACAACAATACTTAAAATACTCTATGAGAAGTTCTGTATATTGTTTTGGTTTCCACATAAATATCAATTGTTTGCACCAAGACACATGAAAGGGTGACGGTACTGGGTGTTGGTTCAGTAATTACACACTACTGTACTGGAAACTGTAAAGAAATCGATAAAGATACAGAAATGGTAAGAATATGGAGAATAGTTATCTTTATGTGCAGTACAGTATAGTTTAAAAAATGTGTGCCACACCCTCCATGTGACTGTAGGGTTTAAGAATCCCAAGACAGAGTCATCAAATAGAGACTACACACTTCTCCCAACTTAGTATTTCCATATGTATAAGATATATTTTATGCCAAGAAGTTTAAATTTCCGTTTTTATAATAAATGTATAAATAATTACCACAATAACACGTTTAACACTTGGATTACACTATAATACTTTTGCAGAATACACAGTTCTGAGAAATTACCAATATATCAAAGCTGTCAAAAGAAAACTAGTTATTAATACCTTTGAAAATAAATTAAAAAATGCTCATTTTCATTAGTTAGAATCTTCACAATTACACTTTTCATAACTTTCAATTATATCTGACACAAAATTTCAGCACATAATACAGGTATAGTATTTAAATTAGTCAAAATCAATTTGAAATAAAAACAAATGATCAAATTTTTAGTCAGTCTCTTAGGTTAAAATTAAGATACTGATATCATTACAGTATTTTATAAATAACATTACATTAAGATGGTGCTTGTGTAAAAATGGTATTATGGTGTATTCTGAAGTGCTTACTGTAGAGGCTTAAGCTCGGTGATACCATTCATAAATGCAGTGTAACTATCTGCTCCTCTGTTGCATTTGGAAGAAAGCATTTAAAGATAATCTAACCTTTTTTCATCATATTATTCTAAAATAAAATCAGGCAAAATGGAAGATTGATCCAGAAAATGTTTTATAACGACAGAATCCAGCAAGTCCATGGATTATGAATCTAGACCCAATGGTCCAAACTTGTGACTGGTATCTAAAACTAAGTACAGTACTGTGCTGTACACTCAAGCATTAGGTAATACAACTCCTACATACTGGGCTCCTGACGGATAACCAATTGATAAGAAGATATCCTGAAAAGGGAGAAAGCTTGAACTTTTTACTGTAGAGTATAAAAAACATTTGGTAAGGAAGAATACCCCAGATCCAGCTCAGTGCTGACACTCCTTAAGAATGCAGCTTGGAAATGAAATAGGAGTCCAAAGGGTTAATTTATTTGAGTCTTGAATTTCAAGCACAAGTCAGGACCCTGGGATTTGGAGTTTTGATCTGTAGATTTGCTGTTTATATAGAGTTGCTCGATTCAGGAAATAAAGTTATAAAAACTGGAGTGAAGCAATGTTAATAACACTAAAATTTGTTAGGTGCAATAACAGTGTTTTAATATCTATAAAACTCACAAAAAGGGTTATATTGAACTAAACAGCCAAATAATTAAAAAAAAAAAAAAGAAGGAACACAAAGTGGAAGTCTCCTCCTGGTAAAGAATATAACTCAGTATGCAGAATTAAATACAGTACAGTAGTAAGTGACTGTAAGTCTGCAACTGACACAACATAAGCAGCTACAGATAGGACAAAACAGTTTGAAGCTGCTTGACATATCACACATGCAAGAGTAAAGTTACAATGATGTGGCTGGGACACTCAAACAGTCTTTCACAAAGATCTTGTTTTGAAATTGCAAA